TAGTTATTTATATATATATTTAGTTGTGTATTGATATTTATATTTTTCATTTTTTTTTCATTTTTTAAATTCTCATTTAAACAAATGTATGATTTTTTTTTTCGTATTGTATTAAACTATTGAACTTATTTAATGAGTTTGGTTACTGTTATATCTTTATCTAATCTAAAAGTTATTAATTGAATATTTTTATATTCTATTTTTTTTTATTCTTTAAAATTTTTGCTTTTTTTCATGAAAAGAAAGTTGATGTGTTTGCATTATTTTTTTTATACAGATATGAGGCGAGGTACACAAGGTGCATCTTCTTCTAGACAGCAGGTTGATCCAGAGGAAGAACCACAGAGGCCACTTCGTCGTCTTATTTGGGGCCCTTGTAGGGCTGTTCCTACGTAGCAGCAACTGCCCAGTTTGAGCTAGCCTCCCGCACAGCAACAGCTTTTTAGTTTGACTCAACTTCCTACACAACTGCAGCAGGAGTAACCCACTGTTACTCGGCCACCATTGGACTGTAATATCCCAAATTTTCTAGAATATTAAAGTTGAGTTGGGGACTAATTTGTGAGAAAATATTATTAATGGCCTTAATAATAGAAATTTTCAAAGTTCAGGGACTTAAAAGAAAGGAAATTAGGATAAGGAAAACTCGGCGAGATCTTGATGAAATTCCCTTCCTTCTTGTTCAATAACAAGATTTAGGACTTAGAACACTCTCCTAAACCCAGAAATTTCCAGATCTGCGCTGTCTTCTTCCCCTCTATCCGCCGGCCTCTGCTGTGTGGGGTTGAGTTCGGTTTCCTGGTAAGGGGATAGCCATGGATTCCTCTTTTAGCTTTGATTTGGCTTGGGTTACTCTAATTTCGGTTTTTGGTTCTTGAATTTTGGTAGTCGCGAGTTCCACTGCAGAATTGCCGCTGGCCTCTTTCCCCCGCCAGGTCCTGTTCTGCAGCTGGAAAAATTCTGGTATGTTGACAACTTCTCTAAGTCCAATTTCACCCATTTAGCTGCTGTTTGAATTTCCCTGTATTATCCGAAATTTGCTGAAAAATGGGGATGAATTCCGATAGCAATTAGAGCATTTTAAGTGTGTTTTGTTGCTTAATTCATGTAGAAATAAATCTATTTTTGGCTTGAAATTAGCTACTGTTCTGTGTGGAAAATCCTGCTGCTTTGCCAAAATTTTACTGTTCACGCGCGCAGTTACTGTTCACACAAAAAATTCTGCAAATTGCTGCTGCGTTTTTCTGCATTTTGCTACTATTTTCCTTTCTTTTTCGATCTGTTCTGCCCTGAAAATCTGGTGAAATATCCTTTTCTGGTATTTTAATTTACTGTAATTGAATTATGGAAATATCAGTACTGTTCATAAGTACTGTTCACGCATACTGTTCATACATTGAGTTTTAATTATTCGGAGTAGAAAATCCCGTGTGTTAGTGGCAGTATTGCCAGAGACAATAATTGAATAAAAGCCCTGTCCCTCCATTCTTGTCTGTAAGTATGAGTATTGATTCTTGGATATTTTGATTAGGTTCCTGATTGTTCTGTCAATTTAGTACTAAGATCGAGTCTTCAGTTTTATGCGAGTGAAGTAAGTAAATTATGATAACGCTTTTCGATTTTAGAAGTATATTTTGGCTTGTTTTTGAAGTGGTGGTGGGACTAAACCCGTTTTATACAAAAGTAAGTATGATTGATTTGAAGTGAAATTTTTATGCTTTTCATTAAATTGAGCATGCCTACTTGAAATTTAATTGATTATCCTGATGATCTGAAAGTGATTGGTGAATTATGGTTTTTCTGTTAACTTCTACCTGTTTTGTTTCTGATGTTGTTATGTTATTAGTGACCCTGCTAGTGGAGGTTATAAACGCTAGCACATGTCGACATGTTATTGATAGAACCGGTTTGTTTGAGTGACCCTGCTAGTGGGGGTTATACACCAGCAAATACTGTAACCTGCCGGTGGGAGGTTTATAACACTGGCCGTGACCTATAGAGAAGACGTCTATTTCATTCCCGTATTATATCCGTTTTCGTGATTACACTTGTTAGCATGCTATAAGTTTAATTAAGGGCACTTCATATTTTATTTACTGAGTTTATCTCATAGTTTTTCCTTGTCCACTATTTCAGGAAGCGAAACCGAGGACGAGGAAACCACAGGAAGTGACGAGTTAGAAGGGTAGCCATTTCGAGATTGATATAGATTTTAGAAATAAATCATGCTTTTATAAGATAAATTTTACCTTGAATTTATGAGATCAAAACAGATTTTGGTCATTAGATCAATTACTTGGATTTAAGTTATTGGATTGTTAGATGTGAATGGGATAAGTTTCGAACCTTGTGCATTTATAGGACCCTCTCACAAGTGTACGGCGTCTGTTGCGTCCTCATATTTAGGTTCTAGGGCGTGACCAGTACACTAGTGATGATGCAACAATGAAGGAGGACATTGAAGAGCGTAATTTGGAGGCTGAGTTGGATGCTGAGTTTACTATGCTTGATCTTGAGTTAGATGCTCAGCTGGAGGAGGAGCTATCACGTGCTGTCCTGAAGACAGGACGTGGCATGGATAAAGGAGATGACGCTCCTGCAGACCCGAGTCAAAGGAAAGGCTTAGCCTTAATCACCGAGGCACATTCAGCCATATGAGGTTTGGGAGGATTGCCACAGTAATTTGGAAGTACTTGTATGATGAGCCAGTGCTTTTTTGGTCTAGCTGGCCTGAGGAAAAGAAGAGAGTTGCTTGGGAGAATTTCGAGGTATGAAAATTATAGAATAAAATGAAGTAATTTTTGAGAATTTATTTAGATGCTATCATTTTATTTTATGGCATTTGATATGGAAGTACAAGGTATATTTTATATGATTTTTTGTATTTTATTTATTAATAGTGAAACAAAAATGATAATTTAAGCAAAACTTCGCTCTTTTTTTAAGAAAAATCAAATAAATTATTAACATTTAATTTTTTTTTCATTGCAGAGGACATTATTGGGAAGAAGGTGATGCTCATGTGTATAAAATTTGGAGATTACATTATTGGAACCATTTTCGAGATGAGCTTCAACGAGCTTGAAAGGCATGGGTCAAGGACAAGAAGTTGCCTAAGTTCATGCATAAGGATACCTTTAAAATTTTGTTGGCAAAATGGAGGAGTCCAAAATATATTGCACTCCAGGAAAGAGATCGGCAAAACCAAGCAAAGGGTGACTGTGTGACCCATACAATTGGATGCCTTTCTATTGGGATCCATGAGGATTGACTGGTTAGTAAGATATACTTATATATATACAAATATAAATTATTTTTGTTTACCATAAAAATGGAAATGTTATTGATTTTATTGATGTTTTAATAGGCAGCTAAAAAAGGAGTTAGGCCGACACCTTTATAGTCGTACTTGTTGACTTACACAACTCGCCGACCTGATGCTCTAGAAGATGCCCCACCCACTTGGATATGTCCATAGGCTGAGCAAACATATGTAAGAATCTGATTCTTTTATGATATTAATTTTATTTATTTTTAATGTCATATTGCCCTAAAAGAAGAAAAGTGATACAATTTTGTATCCATTGTATTTAGTAAATGATTATTTTTCATTTGATTTCCCATTATTATTTGAAATTGCTAACTAATGAAAATTTTATTTTTGAAATTGCTAACTAATGAAAATTTTATTTTTGAAACAAAATGAAGCATCGGCCAAACAAGGATTCGTGGCCAGAATAGGATCCATTTATCTGGAATGAGGTGGTTGGACCTCCTAAAAAGGGTCAGATGAGAGGGATGTCTACATTATAGGATCCAGCAAAGCATGGCATCCCTTGGCGACGATATGACATGAGTGACGCCTTCTCTTCTACCACCAGGATTCTTACAACACAAGTCCAGCTATTGCAGTGTAATACCCCAAAATTTTTGGAGTTTTCAAGTGTGAGTTAGGGACCTAATTGTGAAGAAGTATTATTAATGAACTTAATAGTAAATTTTTTTAAAGTTCAAGGACTTAAAAGAGGGAAAATTCTGGATAAGGATCAAGCTTAGATTTTTTTTCTTTTCTTCCTCATCACACGCGTGTCTGCTCTGTCCTTCTTCTCCTCTACCTCTCGAAAGCTTCCCCCAAAGCTGCTGAAGCTTCCCCCTTGAGAACCAGTAAAGAGCTTGAGTTTTCCCTTTCCTTTCTTAATGGAGAACAAGATTTAAACCCAGAAATTTCCTCCCAGCCACTTGCACGTTCTGCTCTTCTTCTTCCTCGTCCCTGCAACCCGAAAAAAAGAAGCCAGCCGCCGGCGACATCTCCGCTGAGAAAACCGGTAAAGCTTGGTGATTTTCTCTTCCTTCTTGTTCAACAACAAGCTTTAGGATTTAGAACCCTCCCTCTGAAGCCAGAAAATTCAGATCTGTGGTTGCTTCTTCTTCCTCTGCCGCGGGTTGCTGCTGGGTGGTTTGGGAGTCTGGTTTTGGTAAGAAATAGCTAATAAATCATCTTTTTAGCCTTGATTTGGCTTGGGTTACTCTAATTTCTGTTTTGGTTCTTGAATTTGTGGTAGCCCGTGTGTTCCTCCAAAATTTTCCCCGTCGACTTCCTCACCAGCCAAGCCCGGTTTCTACTGCTGGAAAATTCTGGTATGGACAGCCCTTTTAAGTCCGAATTTATCAATTAATTGTTGTCCATTTAGTTGCTCTGTGTTGTTCGAGATCCTGCCGGAATTATGGGATAATTGTGGGTAGCATAAAACGTGTTTTATGCTTGGTTTAGGTAGGAAATTGCTTGGTTTGCTGCCGTGGGGTTCTATGTGAAAAATCCGTGTGTGAGTTGCAGTTTTGTCAAGCCATGTTCCCCATTTTTCTGTCCGTGGGAATTAGAAGCTATATATATATGTGTGTGTTGTGTATAATTAAATCAATAATTGAAATGAAAGCCTTGTTTTTCATTTTTGTGTCCGTGGGATTTGGGGAAATTAGGTAGAGGTGTTTGGTAGTGAACTTGCCTAAAATGTTCACTGAAGATTGTTTAAAATTTGGAGAGAAATGGTATCCGTATGATTAAGATTTAAAGCAGAGTTTTATTTTGAGTTGTGTATAAAGACTCGGGATTTCTGGAATTGAAACTCATGACTGAATACTAGAGTAAAAATGTAATTCCAATAGTTTATTGGGTGGAGATTGGGAAAATATGTGTGTGTTGTGTACACATATATATATGCACAATCTGACCTTAGAACATATTTATCTGGAATAGTAGGTGCTGTGTGGCTTAGAGCTCTGGGGTTGAGTTCCTAGTTTTATGCAAGTGAGGTAAGTAACTTATGGTAATGCCCTGGATTTAAGGTAAAGCTTTTAAAAGCAAAATTTTGATGGTTTTGAAATGGTGACGAGACTAAACCCGTTTTACATGAGCATGACTGATTTCAAGTGACGTTTTATGCTTTTCATTAAATCGAGCATGCCTACTTGAAATTTAATTGATTGTCCTGATGATTTGAAAGTGATTGGTGAATTATGATTTTTCTGTTAACTTCTGCCTGTTTTGTCTCCGATATGGTCATGTTATTCGTGTGCCCGCTAGTGGGAGGTTTATAAACGCTAGCACATGTAGATATGTTACTAATAGAACCAGTTTGTTTCTGTTATCCTGCTAGTGGGATTATACACTAGTAAATCGTGTGCCTGTCAGTGGGAGGTTTATAACACTAGCCATAACCTATAGAGGAGATGTCTATTTCATTCTCGTATTGTATCCCTTTTTCTGATTACACTTGTTGGCATGCTATGAGTTTAATTACGAGCTATTCATATTTTACTTACTGCGTTATCTCACCTTGTTTTTCCTTGCCCACCATTTCAGGTAGTGTGACTCGAGACACGGAAATCAAGGGGAGTGACGTGTAGAAGGCTAGCCACTTGAGATTTGACATAGATTCTAGATATATATACCATGCTCTTGTAAGTTATATTTTAATTGGAAATTTTATGGTATCAAAACTAATTTTGTTGAGTAAGTTCCGAGCCTTGTGCACTTATGGGACCCGTCTCACAAATGTACGGCGTTTGTTACGCCCTCGGATTTGGGTTCTGGTGCGTGACATGTAATCTGAGCTTACTCAAGTTTGGGAAGAAATGGTTGAGCAAGTTCAGACAGAGGTGGCCGCACGTATTCATATAGAGGTATCACAGAGAGTATCAAAGATGAAGGCCAACTTTGAGAAGAGATTTCAAGAGCACGTGCGCTTACTTAGCCAGTAATATTCTATGAATGCCACACAACCCCAGACTGCTGATCATTCTTTTGGAGGATTTAGACCTGATTACTTACCACCTCCTACTTAGAGACATTGATATTTAAAACTTATATTATATATGTTTATATATATGTACTTCATATGTATATATATGATGTGTAAGATGAGAAGTTAGTATATATTTATTAACTTAAACTAGTTTTTAATTATATAGTATTTGAGTTTAAATAAGTAAAATATATAATATTAATAAAATTTAACAATCATATAGTAAAAAGAAAATAATTACAATATAATATTTTGCAAAGAAATAGCATATATATATCTTTATCTAAACTAGAATTTTTATAATTATTAGCTCAAAAAATTTTGATTCTTATTACTTTTAAAACCAAAAATTTTACAAGAAAATTAATAAAAAAAAGGCTAAATACCCTTTTTAGTCCCTCTACTGTAGGAAAAAGCCATTTTTTAGTCATTGTACTGAAAAAATCCCCTTTTTGGTCCTCACTGTTCACAAATCCGGCCCCTTTTTGGTCTTTTCGTTAATTTTTGCTTACATGGCATGTTAACTTAACTAGAACAGCTGACGTGGGTATGCTAACGCGTAAAATATGTTTATGTGGACTCCACGTCACCCCCACTTCCTCCAGCCTTTTTTTTTTTTTTTTTTTTTTTTTCATTTTGTTGTTGTTTCTTTCCTTATTTTTTCCTTGGATTTGAGTTTACAAGACCCCAATTTTGTTTTTTGTAGGTCAAAATCCAGTTTTTATCACCTCCATTGCCTCCATAGCATTACGGTCCCCATTGGCAGAGGTAATTGAGATTTTTATGGTTTTTTTATACAAAATTATATTGTCTTATTTGTAGATTAGTGTAGATTATTACTATTATTGCATGAATTATCAGTAAATTGCTGTTATTTCTTTCAAGTTTTTTTAGATTGAAGTTTGTACATTAATTACTTGCTTGAAGAGTTTTTTTTTAGTAAATTTGTATATACAAAGCTATGGATTTTAGATTATTAAGTTTGAGATTAAGATTGAGATTGATATTGAGATTGAGGTCTAAATATCTTGAAATAAAATGATATTTATATTGAATTTCAATAGTTACAAATTTGTTATTTATTTCAAATTAAATCAATTTGAGAGATTGATATTGAGATCGGAATGTGCATTATTATTGAACTAAAATGATATTTAGATTGAATTTTTATATATCAAATTGTTTATTTCAAATTATTAAGATTAAAATTGGTATGGTAATTAAACTAGAGTACTATTTATATTTAATA